CCGGAGCGGCCCTGAGGGCCGGCGGGGCAGCATGCTGCCCTCCCTGCCCACCCTCAGCGTGCTCGTTCCCCTGCTCTCCCTGGCAGGCCTCTTCTACTCGGCCAGCGTGGACGAGACCTTCCCACAGGGCTGCACCAGCACGAGCAGCCTGTGTTTCTACAGCCTCCTCCTCCCCGTCACCATACCGGTTTATGTGTTCTTCCACCTCTGGACCTGGATGGGGATTAAGCTTTTCAGGCACAACTAGCGCAAAGCCAGTGCTAACCCCGGGGTTTCTCTAAAGCAGCGCCGCTTATTTAATCTCGCCAGGTATTGCAATCGATTTGTAGCCCCCTGCCAGCACTAGAGACTGTTGTCTCTTTTCCCAGCACTATCTGCAAGCGTGCGTGAAGTGCTCTGTAGCAAGCCCGCCACTTAATTAGTGCTAAGGAAGATCCAGAGGAGGACTAACGAGAAGCATTAATTCTTTCTAGTGTGTCCCTTCGAGAGTGTTGTGTGTGTAACAGTGCTACTGAAAATCTTCTAGGTGGTGGTGATCTTTACTAGGAAGGACTGTGTCCTGACTGAAATAACTGATTTTTTCTTTTTAAACAGCAAGTGATGACAACCTGCAGTGATATGAGCCTACCTGAGTTATCAGCAGTGGGTTCATTTATATGTCTTGAACTGATGAGCGTATTGAAATGCATTTGTCTTGCTGTTGGAAAAATGTAAAATAAACTAGGTTGATGTTTAATAACAAAACTTGAGTTAAATGAAGAAATTTACTTGGATGATACCCATATGTGTACATCCCACAGCTGCTTTTTTTTTTCTTTCAAAGATGAGGAAATGAAAAGACAACAAAGAACTATGTTCTTGGCATAGTCTGACAAAATGTCCTAGTAGGACACAGCTATGAAGTGGACAGGTTAATGCCACACTAGTCTATTGCAAAGGATTCTTGTTTGTATTTTTTACTGGGTAGTTTATATTTGCAAAATAAACACATGAGTGGCCTTAACTACTGAAAGTTCAGGAATGCAGCACCAAGTTGTAAGCATCAGAGCTTAGTATCTCTTGGTGGCTTATTTAATAAAGCAATCAAATTGATCGGGCTACTGCTGGGCCAATAACGCTGTGATGCATGGTATGAAAAGCAATGCGCAGAAGATAAATATTCAAAGGCTGGCTTTAGTTAAGTGCAGCTAATTTGTTAAGGCTCCTTGTACAATCAGTGGAGTGAGAGATTCATCTAGAGGATAGTGCAGAGCACAAGCCTTATTGCCTCTATATTACAAAAAAAAAAAAAAAGCCTATTTCAGCTGATGTAGTGAGAAGCAGGGGAAGGAAAGATAGCCCAAGGAGCCCTTTGTGAGTCTGCTCCTAAGTGCATAGTGCCTGCTTCTTGCCAGTTCTGGCTGGCAAGAAGGCTCACTTGATAAGAACCAGAAGAGAGTTGGAGGGCACTGTGTTTGATAGATCCTGCAGTACAGGTCTGATAGCAGACTGCGACAGCCCTTGCGTTAGTGACTGAGAACAAAAGCACGTGGTCCCTGAGCTGAACTCAGCTCTGGGCTGGTGCCTTGCTCCCATTTCAGCCATCTAATTGCTTTTGCAGGGCAGGGCTAGCACTGCAATACCTGGAGAGAATATGGCTGCCAGAACATTTGTATAGGGAAACCAGAAATTCAAGTCACACAAAGAAAACAGCATTATAATCAATGTTTCTTCTCTCTGTTCTTGGCACTATCCTTTCCCTTCAGGCACCATGGCTTTTGTGACCACGTCAGTCGCTGGCCTCTAATGCTGACTGCTTGGCCACCAGCTTTTCACTTACAGCAGACTAGCCTAGAGTCTTTACAGTAAGTCCAGCAGTAACAGGCTTGATTGCCAATTAAAGTCTCCTGAGCCACCCAACTATATCACCCCAAAGCAACTTCACAGTAAATAAAGCTGCCGTTCACCTTAGTGCTTAACTTAGGCACACCAAGCTTGATGTCTACCTGCAATAAGAACGTAGGATCTTGCCCTCCAGATTTATTCTACGTTTCCAGTGGAATATTGTTTAATAATAATTTGAGGGCAAGATTTTTTGTTATATGCTCACTGAATACGGTAAACCTTTCTTACAATACTTCAGTAACACTGCAGAGAAAACTCTGCAGTAAGGTATTCAGAGCTAACAAAATAAAACAGTTTGATTTCTTACTTTTAAGATGTTCTTGAATTGCTCAGGTACTGCGTTATTTAAAATGTCCCATATGTCATGCAGAAGGTGTTGTCTTCTTACCAGAAAAATCCATGGTTCCTGTACTATCAGTGGAAAGTTTATCTGAAGAATGAAATAAGTATGTTAACATCTGTGCGTTTATCTCTTTTTCAATTGAAAATAAAAATGGTTACACTTACAGCAGTAGCCAAGCAGCGTGTGGATAGAGCATTGCGTTCTATATCATGAACTGCAGTCTTATCTTGCATGTCAAAGATGCTTGGGTATTTGGTCAGCTTCCATAGAGCGATCTGAAATGACAAGAAGAGAAAGAAAAAGATGTGCTGGTTTTCACTTGCAAAACCAGAGTTCAGGCAGTGCATGTACAAACTGAACTGCCAGTCTGTGCCCTGGCAAACTCCTGTGTTTCTGAAACATCCCCTTGTTGTTTACGTGAACACTACTACACCACAGAAGCACACTTTCTAAAAGCAGCTTCTAAACATTTCTGTGAGGGAGAAACCCCGATAAAGAGGCATCCGAACACTTGGAGAATGGTTCATTTTTGTGCAGGCAAGCACTTGTGCTGCATTGCCCCAGAAGTAAAATAGGTTGTTGGTTTTTTTTTTTAAACAGTATCTTCCATATTGCAGCTAAACCAAAACACTTATCAAAAATGTCCTAGGTGCCCAGGTTATGTTACATTATTGCTTACAATTGTTGTTTTTATTACTTGTAGCACCAAAAATGGATATCAGTATACAAAATAATCTGTGTCAAAATGCTACATTTTTTGGTGTGACAGGGCAGCAGCTTCAGGTGATGTCCTATTTGGCTTTTGGTTCCACGCTGTTACTCAAACTAACTCTTCTGCTCTGGTTAATTGGTACAAAGAAGCAGATTAGCAGGTGAATTAGGCAGCTGCCCTGCAAATTCCAGCCAAGTTGCCAGAAAACTGCATTATTTGCCTGAGGAAGCCCCTACCATCTGCCTGTTTCTGTTTCATACTGCTTGTGGCACTGATTGCATTTGACAGCTAATTTTCATTCCTTCTTACAGTGAAGGAGTGTAGCACATCACTGATTTTTTTTTTTTAATTACCACTGCTTTGTTCTTAGACGTAAGTAAATTGAAATACTCAACAGGGTTGCTCCATAGAAGTTTTAAGAGACCGCCAATGGTTCTGTTAAATTGACTGGTTAAAATCTAGAGTAATGAGAAGTATAGCAAGTATGCCCCCAGTGCTATTTCACACCAGTTCGAAGCAGATAGTGCTGCTTATGATGCTGGGGGACAGCTCTGGCTCTCAGAACCAGGGCTCATCTCAGAAAAGGAATTAACTGTGGCTGCTAAAATAAGCCCCAATGGGATCATAAGTGGTTTGCATAATTTAAACAGTTGGAGAAGTGGGGTAAATTGTTGGTCTATAAATATGGACCTCCATATTTATTGGTTCATTTAAACAAAGTAGAAAAATAAGTGTATTGTACCAGTGGAAAGATTTTATACTTACTTTTTCCACGTCCGTGTTCACGCAGAAACTCAGTTTGATAATCTCTTTCACTTCAGGTATATAAAAGTTGTTTTTGTGTATTCTGAAACCAGCCCTGGAGTTCACCTACATTGAAACGTGCAATATGAAAAGGAGTGTCGGCAGATCTAACGAGCAGCACATCCGTACAAGCAGGACAGGACTGAGGAGTCTAACAGGGCTTTTTTTGCAGAGGGAGCTCTGAGACCCTGCACAGAAGTGGAACTGTAGAAACACTACAAGCAGCATGGCACTCAACAATGAGAAGTCACAGAAAACTACAGGTAAACTCTGAGGAAAGTGATTTTCATTTACATGGAGGCCTCTTAGCAGGACTCCAGCAGGGGAGGTATGTTTCACTTTGAGTCTCTTTTGTGTTGCAAGAGAATCTGAAGTTCTGCAGTCACTTTAATACCTGGTGCCTGACAAAGGTCCGATTTCTCAGGGACGGTGAAGATGCAAGGCTCCAAAGGATGTTACCCTTATGGAGGACTAGGCCTGCTGCACTTCTAATTTTTATCCAGTAGATAAATAGAGATTCAAGAGTCTAAACCTAGATGCCCAAACCTGCGTTCTCGGCCAAGGATATTCAGTTTTGAACAAAATTTAGTGATTCCCTCTGATGCACACCGGGTGCACGTTAGAGCTCTTGACTCTCCTAAATTTTGAAAATCTCTGCAGGAGCAAGACTGGTACTCAAAAAGAATAAAGCTATTGTCCTCTCTCTTCCCCTTGTTCATATGCAGCAACATACATGCTCTAACTCTAATTGTCCCAGACAATTTCTCAAATAACAAACCATGAAAGCATCACGCAGTGTTGGTGTGGTAGCCCCGATGTGCAAGACACAAAGGCTATCTTCAAAACACTATGGGCAGTTAGTAGGGTGAGGGATTTCAGGAGGGACAGCAGGAAGGGGAATGGGCATGCCATAAAACAGACACCACATCCTCAGCTCTGCACACATCAATGCATGCACTCCTCACAGCACTGACAGCCCCCGCCATGGGGGCTATAACACACGTAAGTGCTTCACTTTCGTAGGGGGTCAACCAGGCACAAGTCAAGAGTGGGATTTGGGGTAGGTAGTGATGCTCCCTGTGGCAAGCGAGGGCCTTCACAGCTATGCTGGTGTTGGGCCAAAACTGATTTCTGAGCCAATGTCAAATGCCAGGGCTCCATGTTCCCTTGTGAGAAGTCAGAGAATTCAACAAAAAAAGATAAAAATATTCTAAATCCTGCTTCATCAGAATCCAAGCACTTTCTCACCTGGGAAAGAATCTGTAATAGTTGCAGAGTCACTGTTTCGTGGCAGTGCAGTACAAAGAAGTCTCTTTGGCAATATAGCACTTCCCAGATAAATTGAGACAGGTTGTTCCGGGAAGCCCTCTGATATATGCTGACCATCTCTTTGAAAAATAACACTTCTAGATTTGACCATAGGGATTCTGTAAAGAAAACAGCTAGTAAAGTATCTGCCACAGGCAACTTACAAACAGCTACAATTTCTAGATGAAACTGCATTTCCTCTTTTTATCAAATCAACTAAGCAAAACATTTAATTTTGCACTACAACGATTAGGAAACCTCAGATTGCGAAAAACACTTTTTTTCTTGTGACTGCTTTTGCTGTGTAGTCTCCATGTTTCTATTTCTACAGAAAGCACTTCTTCCAGGCTGAATTCCTGGAACTAATTACATCAGCCAGAGTACCTCTTGCTCCGCAGCCCAAAATGACTAAGCATTTAAATCATCCAGTTCTACCAACTCCAAACCCTACCAAGAGTTTGCAGGTCCTTTGGCTGGAGTCTCAGGATGGCTTGTGCTAGCAGATTAAGAGAATGATAAGAGATGTCATCCTCTCCCCGCAAAAGGAAAGGTAAGATCAAGTAGATTCTGAAATTTTCAGGTGAGATGGGAGAGAAAGTCACTGATGACAGTAACTTCTTAATTTCCTGTTTCACCTTGAAAGAGAAAAAAAAGAATGATTAAAAATTGAATTTTTTTTTTTTGCCAAAATTATCCATGAATTAGGTTGGCACAGAATTCCCAAGTTTCATGCACAAATCTTCCTTCACGCATTAGCCTGGGACACTAAATTTAATTCCTGAATCAGTAAAACAGAGATCATGACAATTCTCCCATCACTTCCTTTCTAAGGTGAGGAAGCCTGTCAGCTTTTTGGGAAAGGACCCGTTCCCAGTGTTGTGACTTTATGTCCAAGCACAATACAAGGCTTCAGCAAAGGAACAACAAGCAGACTGCTCCTTGTTTTCAAGCAGCTTCCTGAAAGGTCTGAGGAAAATGATACTCAGATCCAGAGGTTTGTGGTGTGTGTAATAAGAATTTCTATACTACATCCTTACCTCTTGGAACAATTTTGGCTTGCAGCTGATCTTCTCATAAAAACTTAGCACTTCTGACATGTCTACACCTGAGATTTCTTTGGAAGTTCTGAAATGTTTGTCTCTATCACAAAGGAGAAAAAAAACCACAAATGACATGAGAAGCCTGCTTCTCTCTCTCTCTTTTTTTTTTTTTTAAACTAGTAAAGCATCTTAACATTACTAATCACTTAGAAAAGTTAAACTCTGACTCCAAAGGCTATAATTTCATCTGTTCTACCAAGACACTCTCACTATCATGTGATCTGATTAATATTCTATCCTTCCTGTCTCATGTAGCTCCACACTGTCAGTTATATGCTTCCCATATTTTGCCCTAGAAATATGTGTATTTCAATGGGGGGAGAAGACATTTTGGATCCTTTGGGAGCTGGAATACTGCCTGAATGGAATATCAGCATCTGTCAAATGTCACTATGGGATAATCTACTAGAATATGAGCTTCTATAGCAAATTTCAATAGGATCGGAGGCATAAAAACTGAACTATTTTTGAAATGGACTTTTCCTTGAAAATACAGACTTAATTCTCGCAAATATAGATACAACTATTCATTCTCTACATGCCTAGTTCAAAATAATACTACCTGGTCAGTTCACATGCAGCCAATATATTCTTTTATGTCTAAGTTAGCGCATACTACCTTTTTTCCAAGAAGCTTCCATTGATGCATGCCTCAGATGAAAAGATCAGTCTAATATTCCTGATAGAAGAAAAAACCCACAAAAATCAATCCTTTCAACAAGAATAGCAACTTCAGTTTTTAATTCTGAAAGAAAAAAAAACCCTGCCTACAACTGGGTGTCTGTAGCTAACCACGTAACAATTTTCTTAACACCACTTGTCATATGACCTGAACCATATTAAAAGCACTCAGAGACATACTCAGATCCAAATTAGCCAAGATCTTGAAGTGCTCCAAGCGAGCAACTGGAGTCAGAAAATAACCTCTCACATAAGGTGTGAAAAAAATACCTTTTTGTAATTCTTACCCATAGACTTTAGGTTTTCAACAGTAGTGTTGCACTTGCTTTTGAAAATGGGTAACTAAAGAAATGCTGGCACACACTGAACGTTTCAGCCACAGTGTTTGGGGTACTTCAGATTACGCTTTTCCCACAAGACCTTGGTCTCTAGACTGAATCTCACACTGCTGTAACTTGTCAAGTCTTTGTCAACTTAACAACCATTCTGTGCAGTAAGAGGAGGACAGGCTGCCAAAGCCAGGCAGTCTGTGTATCTCTTCTTACGAAAGGCATACCGAAGAACTGCTGCTTATCAACATGTGTTTTCCCTAGGCAAAAACTACGTAAGAAGTGCTGGTGCAAGGTTCAAAGAAACAAAAAGCAAATGTTACATTCTGCCTTGGCTAAATTTTTGAACATCAGTTCCTACAAGAGTCTCCAGAGGAGAAGAACTTTTAGAGAAAACTATGTATCAGGAAAAAAAAAAAACAACAGGGTTCTGACTTACTTTCTTGTGTCCTCCCACTTTGGTGAATAGGAATCAGAAATCCATGCATCCTTCAGAGTGGCAATTCCATTCAAATTAAGATAGGAATTCTGTATGAAATGTATGAACATATTGATGAGATTAAAAGTCTAGTGCATGGGACCTTCTTTTTTTCAAGCTAGCCATTTACAAGAAGATTTCAGCCGAGGCCTAAATATGGACAAATTAATGGTCATCCAGCATGATTTGCAGATGCATACAGTATGCAACAGATACATAATTGCAATGTAAGTTTGTTTCTGCATAGAGACAGAAAGAGCTGCAAGAGGCAGATACAAACTTGGAGCAGTTAGAGTAGGATGGAAAATACAAGTTTCCATCACTAATGTGAACAATGGTAATTTAGAAGGCATGATCAAATATGCACGTACTCTTTTCTTCAACAGCAGAACAATACTTCGGTTTCCTCCTGCAATAATTTTAATCTCCTTTTCGGATGTGCTTTTTCCTGTGAAAGAATAAAAAGATTTTCAAAGCAACATTTGAAGAAGCAGTCATTATCTACAGGTAGTTCAGTGCGCAGGCATGGCATATTAAACAAAAAAAAAAACCTCAAATAGTAGCTCTCTGTCTAAAAACAGTTTCTATGTGGCCACTATCCATGACAATAAATCAAGTAGCAAATGGAATCATCCATTGCTGGAATGTGTTGGGACCATCAAGCAAGTGTGAGACATTATAACCTAGGCCCCTGGAAGCTGTTAGCTTGTCCAGTGAGGATGGCAAGGAATAGTCAGCGATTGGGATGATCCAATTCGACAATTATGTTTTCGTCTAAGGTCGTGGAAAAATTTGGGACTCCAGATTAACCGCTCAGAGGTAGAGCTCCTTCCATCGACTGAGAAAGTAACTATTGCTCAAGCTAAGCAATTTAGCAGACACATTTCTCTCCAGATCTCTTGGGTCATTTGTCCTCAGGAAAATCACTTGGTTCTTAGACTGGGAAAAACAGATAACAAGTTTTGTATTTGTAAGGAAGTGTGACTCTTGTGAGCTTGTCCAGTCTGAGCAGAAGGGGCACCTTGTAATCTGCCTGAAAATGAAAACTTCCACATAGCACCCCCCTACCTCAGCTATGCCCATATGTTTGCAGAGCTGACCCTCTTAATCCTGCCTTCTCACCACCTTGTGACTGAAGATCAAGTTCTTGGTCCTAAACTCTATCTTCTTCTTTTCTCCACTTACTGCATTCTCCTCAGTAACAGAAAAATAAAGTAAAAAAAACCCCAGTATTCTCAATGCAAACCAAGAAAGCAAACGCCTCCCTTTTTGGATGTGGAAGAACTGAATACGACTTAAACAAGTCTACAGTGGACATTACCCTGATTATGTTCTCTGTTATCCACAGGTAAATTGATGGGAAGTGGTATCAGCTGATTAGACTTTCCCTCATTTCCCAGCTGTCCTTCCTCACCAGAACCAAATGAGTAGACTTTGCCCAAGGAGGGGACATAGACTAGGGTGTGCCGTCTGTTCAGAAAAAGAAAAATGGTCAGAATAAGCTAATACCTTTGATCTACTCAGAATAAAATTTACAGATCTGTTTTTAGAGTGGGTAGCTGAGGCTTGCCTTTCAAAATCATCATAGTCCATAGCTATAAAATAAACTTTAATCAAATCCTTAGGATCTTTCCGTACATAAACATTTAGCAATAAAAAAAAGTATGAAACCGAATTTTCTATACTATCCTATACTGTTTGTGATTTACCATGGTCCTTCATATGAAAATGAAGCCCTGAGCCTTGCTAGCATTATCTTCTTCCATTTCTTCAAGCACAGGTAATTTCTATGCTGCTAGGCCTGATACAAGCCCCAGAAAATCAACAGGAGACTTTTTGTGGCCCAGTTGCAGAAAGGCGGAACAGAAACATAGTTTTCACCATTCTTTAGTTCTTTCTAAGACCCACCGTTTTGTCACAGTGGATGGTAACTCAATGACTTTCCTGGCTTAGCCTTTCGACAGTTGTTTGTGCTCTGGAACTGAGCGCACCCTTCATTTCTTAGAAGAGCAAGAGCAAAGGACTCCTAGTTGGTTTTGAAACCCCGTCCTGCTGCTCAGCACTGGCTGGCGATTCTGCCCTCACAGGGGTTATTGCAGGAGGGGACTGACACATAAAGAATTGATAATATTCTGCTTGAATACAGGGAATTGTACAACATCTCGGTGACTTCTCTCCCTACCATTCTTCAGCAACTCTCCTAAGTCTTAGACCTTAGAGGACATGTTAGCGGTGTTTTCCCACCTTCCACAGGCAACCTGTGACACTCTTGCTCCCCACAGCTCGGCCACCACGCGAGGGGTTCGTTCGTTGCGAGTGGAGTTGTGACCAAGCTGGCCAGCCTCTCCCGCTCCAAAGGTGCACACCACCCCGTCCTTGAAGAAGAAAGAAACAACAGGATCACTGCATCTGGTCACCACGGAGGGTGAGAGTCAGCAGGACACAATACACTACATGGGCCTCGATTCAAAACATCCCTGATTCAAACACAGGTAGAGTTCTCTTTGCATCACGCTTAATCTTACATTGTTTATATGGGCACGTGCTTTAACTCCTGAGAACTCTCTGTTGTTTTAAGAATTTTACCTGTATGAGTAAACCCTAGTGAACTGGTTATCGTTGGCATTTTCTGAAGTCCCCAATATGCTGTAACACGCAAAAGGTGTTCAGAGAGAGTAGAGAGTTGAACTGCACCTCCTTGCCCCAGGATTCCCATTCACCATCTCTCTGCAAAATGTCTGCATGCAGGTGACAGGAATCTGAGCAAAGGCTAGTTTTCCAAAACTCGGTTAGCAACCCTTAGGAACCATCTTCGGATTCTGACTGGAGCAGGTATTGCCATTCCAGTTTCTCTGTATTGAGTTGTAGCAGCGTATCTTCTCTCCTAGGGTGGAATCTCAGATGCTGAGTTTCAAATTCAGACTCACCTTGGAGAGAACTGCAGTGTGATCTGCCCCACATGAGATAAATACAGTCTTCCAGTGCTCTAATGCTCTAATATAAGATGGGCGGTCCCTGTCTGGAAAGGAAATACAGCATAGCTAAAGCAAGAGAGTACTGGGGAGTCTCATAGAAATAAAAGTTTGGAAAAGACTTTTTTACAACTTAGTTTTGAGTTGTTTTCTAACCTCCACTACAACACACTGTTTCTCATAGCGTTCTGTCTTATTCATAGTATTTTCTTTATTCATGTACATTAGATCTGAAACAATACTCAGCACTTTCACACCTGGCTGCCAAAAGGTAGGTTCCTACATCTGTACTTGGCTTCAAAACATGTGACACTCAAGGGGTTGAAATCATTTCCCACTGATTTCAGTTCTGTCTAGCTAAAGCAGTTCTTCTCTAGGCTTCTAGGTTAAAAGATATTGGCTGATTTTAGTTCTTCTCTCACCTTGTATTTACAGAAAATAAAGGAAGGCAAAGAAGTATAAAATGAATTTCCTTGGTGCGAGGCTGCCTGGAGAGATAATGGGCCTGTAAAGAGATCTCTGAGACATACAGTTTTATGCATCCATGCTATCCAGTTGGACCCATAAAATGATTTTAAGTTCTACAGTGAAGTATAACCCCACATCCCTTGTCATGCATGTGTTTCCTGACCAGGATACAATAGCCTGCACACGAAAAACTCATCCAGATATGTTTCCTTCCAAAGACTCTCCTACCCACTGCTGTTTTGCAGGGGCTTGGCATTCCTACTTTCTGCAGTAAGCTCGCTGACTGGGAAAACACCTTCCTACTTCAGTCTCACACTGCTGTCTTTCCTTACCTTCTGTATGTCCAAGTCCCAGCTGTCCAAAATCGTTCTTTCCCCAGGAGTACACAGCTCCAGAGAGTGACACCGCGAGGCTGTGAGCTCCTCCAGCTGCGATCTGAGCGAGTGCGATGCCCTTTAGCCCCTCCACGAGCTGCGGTTCGGGGGTGTGTGCGACTTGTGCTCCCACTCCAAGCTGTCCGTGGGTATTTTGGCCCCAGGCGAAGAGCTCACCTTCTTCACGCGGGGAACAGAAGAAAACAGTTCTAGCGCACATGCTTCCCTCGAGTCTTTCTGCTTTGGGAGTGGTAGGGAGGAGAGGACCAGTGCTATGTTCAGGGAGGAAAAGCATGCATAAAAGACGCTACCTCTGGACAGCGCCATGGAGTGATGGTCCCCACAGGCTATTTGGACAATATGTCGGTTTCCTAATTCTTTCAGCAGCCTACAAAAATAAGGAAGAAATACTCATTCAAATAGAAAGATGCAGTGCCACAAGATAAAGCAAAGGAAGAAGATCTGCTGCTTGCTGTACCCTAGCGTGTTTAGCGGGATTTACATGGAAAAATAGAGGTCGCTTCTCAGTTGATTCACCTTGCTTTTATGCTAGTCTACCTCAGCCGAGCCAATTGCTTGGCTGTGGTTTGCACCAGCGGAAGCTGGAAGAAAGTCCGGCTCAGACGTGGCCGTGTTAACAGAAAATCCAACAGCATACTGCAGTGCTATCTTTAGACGGTACTTATCCTCACAGCTTAATCAGGAGGGGGCAAAGTTTGAGTGGGCTTGAGTCTTTCACCCTCAGCCTTCCCAAGCCACATGCAGTTTGCAAGTCATTTGCATTACTCCGGATTATGCCGCTATTCTTTACTAAGTTTAAGAGAAACCCGTATCATGCTTATCCCAAACAGCCCAGATCTCTGTCTTATCCTCAAAGTCAGTGCATTTCCTGCTGGGTAAAAAAAAGGAAGAGAAAACTATAGGTTCTAGGAATGAGCCTGCCTCAGTCTCCTGGATGCTGCCTTTCGCAAAAGTGGGCCATGGTCCCTGACATTACCACCCATGCCCCCACCTTATGCAAGATCCTTACCTTGTCTCAAAGTGGTTAGCTGAAGCCGTAGCCCGGTGCTCGGAAAGCTTCCCGTCAGAGGAGAGAAGGAGCATATGTGTTGCTTCGCAGTCCAAACATTGCACCTGCCTGTTCTTCAATTGCACGTATTTTGCCGAGCAAACTGGGAGAGACACAACAGTCAACACTAAGGCAGCGGGCATCATAACCAGCTCTGTCCGCCTCCCTGAGACCCCCGCGTGTGCTTTTGCCAGGCTGAAATGACAAGCCTCCCCAGAGCAGTTACCTTCACCGCCGGAAAGGAGAACAACCCCTGACTTCTCCACTGCAGCGAAGCGGCCCT